GACTTGCATAACGTTCGCATCCAAAGCGCTACAGAATTTCGACTACTTAGCTTCGGAAATGTTGGCTAGTCTATGCACTGCGCTGCAACGTCGGTCTCCCAACTGATACCCTACTCCCTGAGGAGTGTTAACTAAGAAATGTCAAGGAAAAAGAGGCAGCAGCAAAAAGCTTACCGAGGAAATCGAAGAACACATACTTCGTATCACCATACTCGGCCGGATTGTCCAAGTAGGGTGATTGGAGTAGGTGTACCAATGTGGCATACACGTTGTCACCTGAAAACTAGGAAATTTACCGTTATGGTGCAGTTTCAGCACCGTAGCTTTTCATTTCTGCCCGGTTTCTATGTTTCCTGGAGCCCTCCTAGACTGTACTAGGTAGAGAGTTGAAGATATCAATACGTTTTGATAAATGAGCCAGAAAAATGCATATTCATTCAGCTAAATGACTAACCAGCTCGCTGCATTGATCCCATGGCGATTCGTCTTCCCTCGTCGAATTCTGTATGCCACCAGTAACCGTTTTGGACAAACGCCAAATCCAAACCTGAAAAATAAGACAGACATGAATACTGTCTCCTGCAAAATTCACCAAATCCTAGCCTCAATCAAGACCCACCAGGCACTCTGCCATAGTCTCGGAACACCCGAAAATCAGTGTCGCCAGGGAAACAATCCGCTCTGGAATATTTCTTGGCCGATGATGGAACAAGTGTGGGTGTACCGCACCCTCCAGGTAGGAGTTCAGCAGCCACTGATTAGCAGGACCTGAGTTATTATTTCGAAGATGTTCAAGCACATGATCTTTGCTGAACTTACCGGCTTGGAACAATAGCTCTCTGCCACCACTACCACTGGCTTCAAGATTTATGAAAGCCCGTACAACATGACGCCATGGGTGTTGTGTGATGAAACCGTGAGCGCCCTGAAATAAGGGTGCCAATACCTCAGAAAAAGAGAGCGAGGTCGTCTGGGAGGAGGGGGGGGGCAAATCTTCAGGCATAAATTACA